CATTCTATTCCCTAGCCACAGAAACATCTCCCAAGATTTGCCTATGGGTTGTTTCTAAAAGTTGAACACAACAAATAACACCTCATCAAGTTACATACTAAAAATATGTGCAGTTTATTTTATGTCATTGATAATTCAATAAAGTTATTTTTAAAAATGAGGATCCTTGACAATAAGACCCCCTAATTCTGCTCAAGTAAGATTACTCTTTTGAATAATCCCAAGCAGGGGAAAATTCATCTCAGAAAGTATTAGGGGATCTTCTGTATATTAAAGATGAATAATTAATAGAGGCTTCAAAATCTAACCCACAGAATATGGCTACCATTATTTGGTCTGGAAAAATTCTAAAGCAGGCACAACCAAATCCTCACTGACCCTCATTTAAAAAAAAAAAAAAATCTCACTAAGGTAACACAATAGACCTTTCAGCTTTGAGAAATGTAACTTCCTAAAATAACACTAAGATAAATCAATGATGAAATATATGCCTAGGTAGTGAATGATGGGAGTATTAGCTAAAAAATGTAAAAGTTGGCATCTAAAAACCAATTTGGTTTTGGTTTAGAACCTTTCACTCTCAAGGTTGTTAGTTGCTCATTTATATAACCAATAGTTACTGAGAGCCTACTATGGGCAGATGCTGTACAAGGCTGTACAAGGACCTAACGGACCAAGGTAAACCAGAAAGAAGACAAGGTATTGCTCTTAGGAGCTCACTTTATACTGGGGACAGGTAGGGTTGGGAGACAGTAACCACATCAACAAATAACTTATTAAAGGAATAATAACAATGGTGATAATCATCACATTATACAGCTCTTATACATCACTTATACAGCTCTTAATAGGTGCTAAGGCACTGCTTATAAGTATCATTGGAATTAACCCACCCTATGAAGTGGTTCTATTTTACAAATTAAGAGAAAAGGCCCAAAGTCACTAAGACAGTTAGTGGTAGAGTGAAGATTTGAAATCCTGTCATCTGGATTCAGGACACAAGTTTTTCCCCACAATCACACCATCATGTGTGTGAAGTAAAGCAAGCAGAAGAGGAGGAACTACTATAGATAAGGTAGTGAGGAAAAGTTTGTCAGAAGAAGTGACATTTGATCAGAGATCTAAAAAATGAGAAATGCAGCCCTCAATTCTGATAGTGACTTAAGGGTAAGAATAGTTGTCTACTGGGCCATACCAACTTCATGCCATCTGCACAAAAAGAATGCTTATATTTATATTATATCTATGGCACAGGCACAGGTTGGTAAATAATTAAATCTTTTGGTGCTATTAAGAAAACCCGGCAAGTGATATTTTAGATGAATGACTAAGAATCAACATAAAATGATAAACTTAATGAAAATTTATAGTTCACCAGAGCCTATAATACACAATGGTTGAAAAACATCCCAAATCTCATATTTAACATTTACTTCATTCAAACTTTTTTGTTTGCTAAGAATCATGCCATACTTGTTCAAAGGACTGCTAAACTTGAGTGAATTAAAGACATTGTTAAAGTCTTCCATCTTATTTTACAGAAGACTGGTATTTTTGAACAAATGAAGAAAAAAAGCTACTGGTTTCTTTCTTTTTTAAGCTGCATTCAGTCCTTGACAAATATACCCTTTATACATATTTTGGCATGGTGTCTTCAAGAATTCCCCAGATTTCCCTAAGAGACCCCTACCCCTCACGACTTTCCAGCTTGCTCAAGTCTAGGCAGATCCGGTTTAGGCAGAATAGAATCCACAACATCTATGACTCACCCTCAATCTTAGGAGCTTAAACAAAGACTCCAAGTGATAAAACTCAAGGCCATTTATACAGCCATTCTTTGCCCCACTCATTCCCCTCAACCAGAGGCTCCATCTCTGTTCAAACCGTGAAGAATTCTGTACTTTTAATAAGGGGTCATTTGTTTGCAAGTTTCCATACCATTTTATCACCTTATTCTAATACAGGTACAGACTGTAGTACACAGTTACGTCATGCTGAGAGAGAAGAAAAAGGACAACTGAAGACAAAAAGGGAAGGCAAACTATTTGAGCAGTATTTCTATTTCTAGCTCAATCCTCCCACTCAATTCTTTTTACTGACCTCTAATACTCAGCTCCTTTCAATTTACCCTAACCCTCTAATTCTGCAGCTGAACTGCTGACCCCATGATTCTACTTCAGATCCACAATCCTATCCCTCGGCCCATCCTGTTTAGAGTTTCTGCCACAACCAAGTTCCTTGAACATTTCCATTATCAAAGCCAACCAGCCAGGAATTGAGGGGGCAGCTTCTGCTGAGATCAAAGAGGTCACTCTGGGACTCAGAATTCAACTGTGAACTCATTTCTCTCATTATATATGGTGATAAGATTCTTTTATTTGATCATACTACAATACTCTGGCATATTCTGGATTACAGACTAACTAATCTGAGCTCCAAACCACTATGCATAAAACATAGTATGCCAGACCCTTCAAAATATATTATATATTTGGTCCTCCCAGAACATGTTGGGGGGTAACAGTTTTTGGAGCAAAATGTATGTTTATAAGATATTAGAAAATTATTTACAAAGAGATTTTTATAACACAGCCTGTTTTTTTACTGGGGACAGTCTGGACCCTGAAGTGGTTTACAGAGCAAGAGAAAGGCCATTATTCAGGAAAAAGGCTCAGTTTTTGATTCCTTGTAACTGGCTTTACCCCATCCAGACTGTCTTATAAGACAGTCTATACTTTATTTTTTTTTTTTAAATATTTTTATTTATTTCTAGGAGAGAGAGAGACAGTGTGAGCAGGGGAGGGTCAGAGAGAGAGGGAGGCACAGACTGAAACAGGCTCCAGGCTCTGAGCTGGCAGTCAGCACAGAGCCCGACGCGGGGCTCGAACCCACGAACCGCGAGATCATGACCTAAGCGAAAGTCAGACGCTTAACCGACTAAGCCACCCAGGCGCCCCTAAGACAGTCTATACTTTAAATAGTTGAATTTGCTAGGTTGGTATTGAAATCCCTCAATTCCCCTAAAGGCTAAACCAGGTGTTATTAATCCCCAGATGTTCTGCTCCTACCAGAAACTTCAATCTAATGGCCTGACATCAAAGAAATGTTCATAGTCTCTTAGAGATAGATGATTTGTTTACCTTGTCTTAAATGGCAAAATTCTGGTTCAAATGAGAAAAATACTGACTTGAAAGAAAGAAGGCAGAAGAATGAAAAACCCTTCCACTGGGTAGATGTTTATCTTTCCAACTTAAGTTTGAATAAATAATCCTAATGACCCGAGTGACTCACAGTGACTCTGGATTTGCTGGGGTGGATCTTTTACACCTATCTGCACAATTCTACACCTGCTCAGTAACAAAAGTATAGCAATCCTTTTTCATGCATCACAAACCAAGTATTGGCATGTAATATTGATAATACCTAACAAGTAAAGACAGGCTTTCATTACTAATCTTGTGCTTACCCATGCTTTTCAGTGTAACTATTCAAATACTTGGAAGTGCTTATAATTTTCCATGACCCACAGCCAGAATAATAAATAATGTACAGGAAGGATTGCCTGAGATGTAAGAAGTTTCTTTTCTGTTGTTTACTTTCAAAGAAGAAAAAAATATTTCAATAAACAGGAACATCTGAAGGGTATGGATAAAATTCAAGACTCATACATGGTTTGAATTATTCTTCCATGGGTATACAGTAGTCAAACTGATTTTTAATGAAATCTTTGGCAATCTTACTGTCTATGGGAAAAATTGAGTGCTAACTACAGTGACACAATTTGTAATTTTAGTTTTCAAAATCATGCCAAAACAAATGCCTCACATAAAAAGATGGGAAAATAAGTTTTGGTGGTGTTTTCTTTTTTACATGCTTAAGATACATGCTTTGATATCTTAAACAACAGAATTACTTTCAATTCCCCCCAAACAATCTGTGTTCTCGCTTACTTTTTGGCTTTTGCACATTCTAGTCTTCCTGCATGGATGTTCTTCCTGCCATAAAAATGTTCTTCTTCCATTTCTCTTAGTTAACCCTTATTTATCCATTACACAGATGGGAACTCCCATCTTCCAGAATCCTTCTGTGACTTCAGCTAGCCTTATATGGTTGATTGGGCTGTGTCTCATTCTTTAAAAATACCTTCAATTTTCAGCAAGAAATCCTTAGAACTGAAGGACATGAATGCTTGTGATACATGATCCAGGTCTCTTGTACACTGTAACATCCTATGTCATTTTCAATTTGTGCTATTCTTTAAAATAATAAAACCATGTTACTTTACACATACTTCCTATAAAGATTTCACTGAGTCACGCTGCTGGTTAATGCTGATTAAAAAGGAGGAGAAGGGACTGAGGTGTTGCTGGGATGACATGGGGGAAGATTCATTCACTTACTTCATGTTTATTATAGGCCTACTCTGCAAACCACCGTTCGGGTTCTGACGAAGTGGCAGATAATGAAAGAAATAGGTACAAAGATAAACTCACTTCCCACCTTACTCTGAAGTTATCAACCAAAGCTAGCAAACAGAACAGAACATCTGCAAACAATATAGGTACTGATAGGAAGCATACAGTAACATTTAACAAGACACAGGAATGCTTTTGGCAGGGGGATAAAGTAAAGGGCTTCAAACATTTCATAGTCTTCAATAACTGTAGGTTGGATGGAGGACTTCTTCCTAATCCATCCAGTGATCTGAACAGGGCATTCCTGATGCTTTGTGTTGTGAAAATAGTGATTTCTTCTCCTTCCCCATCTCCTTCCTCTCCTTCTAGGTTTTTGCCTTTCTTTTTTTTTTTTTTTACTCCAGTTTTATTATGATATAACTGACATATAATACTGCATTCCTTAAAGGGGTACAAACTAAGGATTTGCTGTGTGAACATATTGCAAAATGATTTTAAGGACTTCGTAATACGCAATTTGCTTAATTAAGATTCGTTTACTAAGCTGAATACTAACATGATTGAATTTTCTACAGACTAACTTACCTCAACATATGAAATTGGAAATATTCCTATTTTGTCCGCCAGCATGCCTTCAGCCCAGTTTTCATCCACTCTGCGGATCACAGTCAGAACATCATCCTGAAGAAACAGCAAACATTAGTCTCTTTGATTCCATTAAGCTCACCACTTAATTTTCCTATTCAATAAAGGTACTCAAGTTTTAAGAGTACATGAATCAAACTGTTATGACATATCTTTGGTACATGAATTCAGTGCTGCCACAAACTAAGTGGCCACTACAACCTGTTGGTTCATTTAGACTGTTGTAAAACTATGCACTCCTTCTATACAGGCGTTGGCTGATTATTACGTTTAGATCCACAAATTACACAACCTCAAATGCTACCCGCCCCAGCCTCCTGAACTTCTGTCTTAGACTGATTCTCAGGCTCTTCTCACATTCTCCTGATAACACACCAAATACCCCCCGCCCCCTTTAAATGCATATCCTACTGCTTTTCTTTATAAAAAACACTGTTGTGTTTATCTACTTAAAATTCTAAAGCATTTTATCAATTCAATATACTCCTGTGTGCTTTCAGCAAAGTAAGGAAGCAATGATGTTTCATTTTGTTATTCGTAATTCAGTAAGTTAAAATCCGTGAGTGGCACACATACCTCTGTAAAATAGCCTAGAATTAAATTTAGGCTATAAATATGAAAACGATACCACAAAGAATATCAAACAAAATTATCTTTCATATAAGAATGGTCAATGCACAAAATCACTTTTTTGTGACTTTAAGAAAACTGCTTCCAGGTATTTTTAAAAGCACAGGTATTTTTAAAAACTATTTTATCTTGTTGAAAAAGGAAATATAAGCCATATTCCCATGTATTCAGGTCCAGAGGAAGAGCTGGCAAACAGAAAATCTTATTCTAAATGTACCTTTGCAAATGGAAGGCAATCTTTGTCTGCTTCCTTGTCTTTCACTTCAAAGTCATAAAGTGCTTTGCACTGAGGTGGGGGCTGAGGTAACGGTTTGATAATCTGCACAAAGTTGGTGGGGAAAAAGCCATGGATCCCATTGACTTCCCCATGGTACCAATTTTCATCCACTTGTCGCCGCAAAATGATGATGTCACCTTTGCTGAATTTAAGGTCTCCAGGCTCTTTCCCTTCGTAGTTGTATAACGCTTTGGCACAAGGTAACTGAGGTATACCCTTAGGGAAAAAAAGATGAGTTTTAATTAAAGAACAATCCGAAAATGTTTGAAAATTTAACTGTATTATTATTTTTACTCAAGTTCAACTCAACACAGAGCGCAGGTCTTTGCAGTTTAGCAGGTGGGAAAATGAAATACTTCCTGGAGGAAGTGACACATGAGCCAAGTCTTCAAGGATACACAGGAGTTAGCCAGGCAAAGCTGGAATAAAAGATAAAAGTGAGGCATTCTCATGAGAGGGGACAGCACCAGCAAAGACATAGAGCACGCTGGGCAGAGGGACTGAATTTGATAAAGAATGCAAGAACTATAGAATATAAGGTGTAGGAGAAGTAGACAGAAGCTAACTCATGGAAGATCTTGAATGACATGTTAAAGAGGTTCAATTGCTGTGTCCTTCAGGCAATGACAAGCCCTCACAGGTTTGAAATACAAATGGCCACGAGTAAGAAGGATGTGTCAGGCAGATGAGTCTGGCATGAGACCGGGAAATGGACAGGAAGTGGGCAGGCAGAGAGATAGCTATGTGCAAAGCACAGGCCTTAACTAGTAGAAATTTTTTTTAACAGATTAATCTTTCTAATGAAGTAGAATAATAGGAAGAAGCATTACTCATAGTACTGCCCTCTCCCTGTGCTCTTCCATCTCCTCCATCTCCCAAAAAAAGTGGATCAAAGTTTCATACTCTTGAGGCAACAGAACTTCATAATATACATTTTAAAAATTATTTTGGTTTCTGGTCAGAGATTTAGAGCCTGGTCTGCTCCTAAGCCAAATTTCTTTTGTTAAATATTTTTGTTTGGCTTAAGGGGAATAGTCAATTCTTGGCTCTCAAAAGGCTACTGGCAATCATCTTGTGTTGGCTTGATCCATGTGATGTGTTTGGTTAATGAGAGCTGCTCCAGAGGCCAATATCCTAAGAAGACAGGAACTGAGCCTTCCAGAAGTTTTGAAACCCTCATATGCCCTCTGACTTTTGGATCCTGACTTAAGATCCTGCCTATGAAGGCATGACTTCTGTTATTTGACTGTGACATAATCTTATAAACAATTCTGCTGTGCCCCTTGGTTTCTACAGAAGGAAAATGCCTGTCAGGAACTCTGCTGCCTCACAGTATGAACTTTAGTCATATTCCCCTTCAAGGTCAAATGCTGTGGAAAGATTCTAATTTTTGTCTACTTTCACAGAGATGCCTCACTGCATTCTTTACTTTATTACATATTTATTGAAGTGTGGTTATCAAAATATAACAATGTTTTCCAAGACAGTTTTGAGGAAATAATAGCAAATAAACACAGAAATGAATATTACTATGAAACAGTGCAAGAGTGATTGAGTCAGAGACAGAGAACTGACATGTTCTGTAATAAACCAACTCTTGGAACACAGCTGATGGGGCCATGATCAGGCAGTTTTACATAAGGGTTGAAAACCTAGACTCCAGAGCCAGAATGCCTGGGTTTGAATCCCAGCTCAGTCCCTTGCTAGCTGTGTGCCTCAATTTCTTCATTTCGGTTGCTGTGAGGATTTAGTGAGTTAATGTATGTAAACCGCTACAAAAAGACCCAGCAGTTAGTAAGTGCTGTTAACGCCCATGAACTATTATCATCATTGTCACTGCCCAGTATGAAAAGCCTTGTTCACCAGTGAAACACAGCACCTGAAAATGTATTTGTCTCTATGCAGCTGGATGCTATTCCTTTTGGATGAATTCACATAGCAATTACATTTTTAATACATATTCACTGTATAGCAATGCAAAGAATGTTCCTCCAAGGAAGTGCTGGGATTTTGAAATGTGCATTTCTGAAGCACACATTTGTTTTCTAAGTGGAATCCATTCATCTTCTGGTTGAACAGAAGAAATTACAAATTCACTGACATGCACGGTTTAATAGGGGATGGCATTTTAGATGGGGCTGTAGTTCATCTTGACAGGGCTAATGTAAGGCATTGGAAGGCTGCATGAATTAATTGAAAATCCTATTACAAACTCAGTGACAAATAACTCTATTCACCATTATGGCTGTTCTCTCAATTTTTTCCCCACCTCAATTAGCTCTGTTTGGCCTACTCTGTCCAAATCTATGCCAGCAAAATCCATGCACCAAGATACAGATTTAGCACTCTTAGAAACCATTCTGAATTGCTCCTTGAAGAGATCTGTAAAATTCCCCCGAAAAACCCCACAGTATGGTTCTTTTGTGATATGCTCATGTGGAAACTGAAGGAATTTATTTCCTCACAGATCACTTCCACACACCAGTGGCCCAATGGACTTATTAACTTTTCTACCAAAGCAAATCTATTAAGTATCTCTAAAATAATCACATACTTACTACAGTCAATGGCAAGGATAAAACTTATGATAACAATGATATCCATTATGGTTAACCTAGTTACATCCCTGTGACTATAACTTAAAATTCATTAATTCACTCTGTTTTGCTAAATCTTGACTGCTGAGGCTATTTCAATGATCAATAACCACAGAGAAAGAATCATAAAGCTTACAGCAATCTAATCCACGAGCAGATATTTGTGCATCTGGCTGTGTTTTTCTATGGTGTTCTTTTTCAATTAAATTCTAAGAGGCTAAAAAGCCAGTTTGTGTCAAGTTTCTCAAAAGAAAAGTTTCCCACATTAAATAAAATGAATTATACTCTGATTTCAAATCAAGCAAAGTTCAGTGATCTTTAAAAGACTTATTCCCACACAGACTGCAGATGATTAAGGATAAATGGTTACACGACTTGGAAGAGCAATAAAAGAATGCATTTTCCTTTTTGCAACATCTGAAGGATAAAGCCAAAACAATTGGTTTGATAGCCTCAGACTACTCTTGTGGGTAAAATACGTCCGGGGTCCACGGAGGCACTGCCTTCTCATTCATCTCCTTAGAAAGGTCTAGGAGTCATGTCATCGCCCAGGCCCTTTGCCCCCCATGCCTTCGGCAGGCTTTCCAAACTGCTGCCTTTCTTCTGTATCCTCTCATCAGGCCAAGGCCCCCGAGGATCTGTAGAGCGTACATTTCACTTGGCTACACATGAAAGGGAGGCTTAAAAGGAGAGAAAGCCAGAGAGAAATGGACTCCGCAGTCTAACCTTGGGTTTGCAGCTGTCATTCATGCTGCCAGCTTTATCAAAAACTTTGGCAATTTAGACAGGTGAGCTATTATAACGATTCTTAATCTGGAATACATTTCAATAAACAGTGACTATTTTGCTCACATAAAAAGGAATAAATATGACAGCGGGCTAGTTTTACTCTTCAAATAATTTTTGCTTCTACATTATGTATACAAATATTTTATATGACATTAAAATCCTTATGAGACCTGCACACAAATATTTTTTATGAAATACTCTATACTCCATTTTTGTATCATCAAGTGTATTCCAATATATCTGGCAAAGTGCTACCTGATGATGTAGCTGAGATTCTAATGGGTAAATAAAACATTCGCTGCCAATTTATTTTATAGACTCTAAATGCCAATGCCCAGATATATATGCAAGACAGCCTCTTTAAATTCAGATTTCTTCATGCATTCCTTACTGCTCCATAAAGTAAAAAAGATTCAATGACCTACAAAAAAGAATATCTGGAAAATACTCTTGCCATAGGAAAAGCACCACGGTGTATATAATTTAATAATTTGGTTAAATCTAAATGGGCATGAACTATGGCTGAATTCGACTTGACTTCAAAAACTTTCCAGAAAGAACTGAAGCACAAAGAAATTACAGTAATAGGAAGTAATACATACAGAGTAGCAAATAGCAAAATGGTTCAGGAAAGGATTTTTTTAAATGTCCTTTCTACAACAAAATACATGTTAGGTTTTCCCTACAAAGTGAAACTCTATTGGAATGTACCCATACCATTTCACAAAAATACTAATTCTTCAATAGTTCAAAAAGTCTTAAGTATTGATCTCAAGAGGTCTAGGTTGGATTATTATTCAAATATTATTTGACTATCCCTTCAAATGTTTCAACCTCAATATAACAAACATCCAAGATGAGTATTACAAGTTATTTTTCCAGAGCAATATCAGAAAGGACCAAGAGTCCCATAAATCCATAATAATCCACTTTAAAAACATTTTTTAATGTTTATTTTTGAGAAAGAGACAAGAGTGTGAGTAGGGGGAGGGGCAGAGAGGGAGGGAGACACAGAATTAGAAGCATGCTTCAGGCTTTGAGCTGTCAGCACAGAGCCCAAAGTGGAGCTTGAACTAATGGACCATGAGACCATTAGCTGAGCCCAAAGTAAGAAACTCAACCAAATGAGCCACCCAGGCACCCCACATTTCTTTTTTTTTCATGTTTATTTATTTTTGAAAGAGAGACAGAAAGAAAGAAATAAAGAAGGGGAGGGGCAGAGAGAGGGAGATAGGAGGATCCAAAGCAGGCTCCATGCTGACAGCAGAGAGCCCGATACGGGGCTTGAACTCACAAACCAGGAGATTTGACCTGAGCTGAAGTCGTCATACACTTAACCAACTGAGCCACCAGGTGCTCCCATAATAGTCCATTTCTTATTTGTTCTTTCCTTTAATATTTATTTTTGGATAGCACTGTGCTGGAGCATTTTCTCTGATGATCATGCTCTTAAGCTACCATCTGCTATATACCCCAAGTTTGCCACATAAAATTTTCTCATCAGACTAATCATATCTACCCGCACTTTGAGAATGGCAGTTGTGAATAAACAGAAATGAAGAAAAACATGTTTTCTTCATTCACATTTATTCTTTTTTTCGTCCTTACTTTACCATTTCACTGCAATCTTTTCTTGCATGCTCATTTTGTTCAGTTTTCTCCTTAAGTAGGCTCTTTCCAGGCTGCCTACCTTTTTCCTCTACTCTGAACATCGTGCCTCAAAAAAGTTGGCTAAAGCTAGCTTTGCACTGCTTTAATGCCCTGTGCCCTCAGCTCCTGCTCACACTCCATATACTCTATCTGCTCCTTCTCCTCACCCTCAGCTTCTAC